AATGCACAATGCATTATATTTTAAAGTATAAACATTTACACATTTAAAAATTATTCTTATAATTTGACATAAATGCGACACGACGTTTGACGCATCGGCGTGTCTGTGTGCGTCAATGTCAATCCGAACACATATGTATGAAGTAAGCGCAATTCGTTAATGTTGGCAATAAGCTTTCGTTGTGCGCAAGTTAATAGTAGTCATGTTGTGTCATGACATTCTTCTTTATGACATGTGTGACACTGACGTGTGACGTGACACCCACATGGCTCGTGAAGATAATGATGCGGTAGTCTGATCATATTTTATTAAATATTTTTAGATATTTGTTATAGTTATCGTTAATATATATAATAAAATACAATTTAATTATATATATATTTTAGTGCCATGTCTCAAATGGAGGCAATTCAATATAGTAAGTTCAACGAACTGAAAAGCCAGTACGAAGAACTGATGCAATATTGTGAGATTACTGGAAAAGGTCCGTATTTAACAGCAAATTCCACCGAACTGGATGCATTGAAAAATGAAAATTTAAAACTGTCTCATCGAATTTCCATATTGAAACAGGCAATTCAAGAACTCAGTGATTCTAATATGGATAGTATATTGACAATATTAACTGATACATTCAGAAAAGCTGTAACTCAGTCCTATCCTGATTTAACCAACCCTCCAATCATCGTATCATTGGTTGGATCTCAGATACCATTTGGCGATTACCAGTGTAATTCTGCTCTACCTATATGCAAACTACTGAAATCACAAGGCATAAAGGCTTCTCCAAAGGAAATAGCTGAAATATTGTCAAAAATTGTCCCAAGTGTCCTTTAATTGAGAAAGTAGATATAGCAAATGCCGGTTTCATTAACATATTTTTATGTCGACAATATTGCAATGAGATACTAAAAGAATGGTTGAAAAATGGAATTACTCCTCCTAGATTATCAGAAAGGTTGAAGGTGGTAGTAGATTTTTCATCTCCGAACATTGCTAAGGAAATGCACGTAGGCCACCTACGGTCAACAATTATTGGCGACTCTATATGTAGGCTCTTAGAATTTTTAGGTCATGAAGTTCTAAGAATAAATCATGTGGGTGATTGGGGTACACAATTTGGAATGCTTATTGCCCATTTACAAGATAAATTTCCGAACTTTAAAACTCAAAGCCCAGAAATTAGTGATTTGCAGACATTTTATAAGGAATCAAAAAAAAGGTTTGATGAAGATGAAGATTTTAAAAAACGTGCCTATGCTTGTGTAGTAAAATTACAAGCTTTCGATGAGGATTACTATAAAGCTTGGCAATTGATATGTGATGTGTCCAGAAAAGAATTCCAAAAGCTTTATGATAGGTTGGACATTAAAATTATGGAACGGGGAGAATCATTTTATCAAAGTCGAATGGAAACGCTTGTAAAAGAATTGTCTAACAAAAATTTATTAGAAGAAGATAATGGAAGAATGATTATGTGGGGTGAGAAACATGGGGAAGGAATACCATTGACAATTGTTAAATCAGATGGCGGATTTACATATGACACTTCAGATTTAGCTGCTATTAAGCACCGAATAGAAGAGGAAAAAGCTAACTGGCTAATATATGTGACTGATGCTGGACAGTCAACACATTTCCAAAGCATAGAATCTTGTGCAAAGCGAGCTGGTATTTTAAACTCTAGTAAACATCGTTTAGATCATGTCGGCTTTGGAGTAGTCTTAGGGGAAGATGGTAAGAAGTTTAAAACCAGATCTGGAGACACAGTTAAGTTAATTGACCTCCTTGATGAGGGTTTGAGGAAAACAGATGCAGTGCTTAAAAGTAAAGGAAGGGATACAGTTCTTACACCACAACAACTGAAAGCTGCACAGGAGTCTGTTGCATATGGTTGCATTAAATACGCTGATTTATCTCATAATAGAAATCTCGAATATGTATTTTCCTTTGATAAGATGTTAGAGGATAAAGGAAATACTGCTGCTTATATGCTGTATCAGTATACACGCATAAGCTCAATTGCTCGAAATGCAAATGTTATTCGTGAACAAATTATCCAAGCTGCTGAAAATATTGATGTATCATTGGAACATCCCAAAGAATGGAAATTGGGAAAAGTTTTGTTAAAATTCCCTGATGTATTAATAAAGATAACACATGATTTATTTTTGCATCATTTGTGCGAATACATGTATGAAGTTGCTACGTCCTTCTCTGAGTTTTATGATAATTGCTATTGCATAGAGAAGAATAAAGCAGGTGAAATTGTTAAAGTAAATATGAATCGACTAATGCTTTGTGAGCTAACAGCGATGACACTTATTAAATGCTTTGATATACTAGGTTTGAAACCGGTTTCTTTTATGTAGGTTAATCTTACATGTTTTACACTATGATGTTTTTGTTTATTTATTTGAAATTAAAAATAAAATTATAATAAAAATTCAAAATTATGCTTTTATTTCTTTGATAAAAGAAATTGAAATCTATTTTTTCAACAGCTGGTTATATATACATTGCTACCATCACTTATAATGACTGACTACTGAGTATTTTATACTTATCCTATTTAATTATATATAAGTATTAATGTAATATCGATTTACCCAAGCCAATATATCGAGGTTTATTTTAATGTTTGAAATTTTAACTATATATTAACATTGCTTGTAGAGTTATATAAGTTGAGCCCGCGTTCTTTTGCTTTTTGTATATTTTTAAAATTATTAACTTTTATAACCATAGGTTTAAACATGTATTGATAAAGGGTAAACTCCAGCTAAGGGCCTTACAAACATGTCTAACTCATTTCCGTAATGTAATGAATGTACAGGAAAAAACAATAATTGAATAATTGAACTAGCATGGCATCGTGCCTTAAGGCAAATTGCTGGAACTTCCCGTACCGTAACGAAATGTTCGAGGAATACTGCATGTTTTCAAATAGATTATTATAAATATTGTAACATTGTCTAATATTTATAAGAATTATATAAACTGAATTGCAGAGTTGAAATTATTTGTAAAGTATATTAGAACTATAGTCAGAATTAAAAATAAATCTGAATTATTTTCGATATTTTCCAAAATCAATTATTTTGTTAAGACAAGCAGAAAGTTCTTTGAATCAATTGAATCTGACGCTTAGTTCTCTCAAAAACTGCCATTTTTTACATATTTAGCTCCGTATCTTCAAAATGGCTGGGCCTGCCTTTGCCAAAAACTAATAAACACTTTTACCAATCATTACTAATTGAATGATTTTTAGATCATTCAAATCGGATACTACGTTCTCTCAAAAATTCGATTTCTATTTTCTGCACTCTTTGCTCGTTATCTCCGACCTGCTGACCTGCCTCTACCAAAAACTGATCAGCTCTTTTCCTTATCAATAGGAATCGAATGTTTTTTAAACCATTCAAATCGGTTGATCCGTGCGCCCGAAAACGTGACTGGAAATTTGTATCCATACATACATACACACACACACACATCCATTTTTTCTGAAGTATGCCTTCAAAAATGTTCAGAAACCTTCAAAACGTCAAGAAATGTAAAAATGTTCAATTCCGATTTTCGGCCCATTACAATAACTTACCCTACGGGAAGTTAATAATAAATGATAAATTTATTTTTATTATTAAAAAAAACATTGCTTCGAGATACGAGCGTGGTTATAGCACGAATTAAACTCGTACGTCGGGTATTACTATATATGTTTATATGTCTAGTAAAGTAAATTGCATTTTAAATTCATGATGTGAATTTTTATCATCGTATGTTAACAATATACTATCCATTATTCAAATCCTATAGACGTGCGGTAAACTACGCGAAGTAATAAAATTCAGTTCTGACCTTTAAGCTATAGACCCTAAATCGCAATTATACTCACATTAGCCAATATGGTGAGATGATGCATGCTCTGGGTTTCGAAATCCAGTGGGCCGAGCAGAAAAATCACTCCTTCGGTCGTGTCTGGTGTCGTGAGCCTTTGTCTGATTGCGAAGAGCGGAGATCCCTGTCCAAAAGAATGATCAAATACAATGGAAAATTATCACAATTTCTAATAGACCTTAATTATTCGTCGTTAATTATTGTAACGGTTTTATGTGTGGAAAAAAATGACGATTATGTAACTATTAACGATCATGGACCACAGATTGATTACACACAGGAACATTATCTTATTGCTCGCGGTTACTTGTTGGTTAATTGATGCATTGAACGATTTGAATTGTTATTTGATTTTAAGTCAATTTGTGTATTCATAATTTGAGTAATAAACTATCATATGTTATGTTCTAAATATGTAATTGGTTTTATGGTATATAGAGGTAACCCCCCGCGGTAACGGTACTTTTATAGCACAGAACTTCTATAACACGGTTTAAGAATTGATACCATCCCCCTTAAAACACGGTACTTTTAAAACACGGGTTCGCTCTAACTCGGTTTGAGAATTGAGCAAAACCCCAATAAAATAAAAAAATATAGTAAAATCTATGGAAATTAAACTTTATTTAATTTAAAATTAGTAAAATCGGAGTACAATAGCTCAATAAATGTGATAAAACTAATGCAAAAAAATAATTAATTTTTATACTTTGGCGCGCGTACGTCCTATGGATAAAAAATTCTACGCTTATCCGAACAATTGTTCAATTAGTCCTTTGAATAAAATGAGCACAAAATTTTAATAATATAACTTTTCATGCAGTAAATATATAAATATGTTTTCGCCAAAAGAAAGTAATCGCAAAAATAATTGTGTTTGAAAAAAAAGCACGAATTTCGAAGTAATACAGAAAGCTGTTCAGAGGATAAAGATATCTTGCAAAAAAAGGATAGCGTTGGATAGCACTGACAATTTAATTATGACGAAAAAATCATGTAATTGATATAATGTATACTACTTCTTAAAAAAAATTAATGAATATAACAACATTTATTATAAAATCATTATACGTAGCATGTTTTTTTGAATTATTGGAATGTAACCCCTCTTTTTGTAGTAGTTATTTGTACGCGGATTCGCATAACACGCTACTTTTTTGGAACGTAACTACCGTGTTATACGGGGGTTACCTGTATCATTGTTAAATTTGAAATGCTGTCCATTTATTTTTAAGTAAAATTTATACATATAAAATGTGAAATTATACATGAAAACAGGCGTCTAAGATCATTCATGTAAACATATTCGCACTTAAATTCTATTCATATGAAAATAAGATTTTTGAGTCTAATCTATACAAAGAATCTAATATGTACGTATAGAACTGGTCTGAAAGAATGTTACTATATTAAAATTTGAAATAAAAAACGTGTTAAATCGGAACCATCAATACAACAATGCAATGCATCAAAATGCAACTTGGCCCATTTTCCAAAAACTTTTCAGAAGCTATTTCTTAAAAATGTTAAATGTTAAATCGAAACCAACAATTCACCAACGCAATGCTTCAAAATGCAGCTTTACCCATTTTCCAAAAATTTTTCAGAAGCTATTTCTTAAAAATGTTGTTATGATAATAAATTAAAATTAAATAATATTTAAAAAATTAAATGGAATCAATTTTATATCTTACCCATAGTTCCAAGTACACTGGTTTTTGCGAAAGAGGATTTTTCTTGCTATTATGAATTCTAATTCCGTTCCTCGTTTTGCATCCTGAAACAAAACATAATGGTGTTTATTTTAAGTTATAAATAAAGTATCAGATACTGAATAATTATTTATCGATTAAAATTAAATAGGGCAACAAATAGATTATGATCCCTAAAGACATTCATTATAAATGCACGTGCAGTGCTTCAACTTATTCCATATATAAGTCCATGAAATCTTTTTATATTATGACTTTTGTGTAATTGTAATGGTTAACCTCACGGACTCATGTAGACGTATATTTATATTTATATTTATATATTTGTTTTTTTTTAAATTTATTTTAAGGGTTCGAATGCTCTGAACAAATTGTCATGGTACAGTAGGGATTTCCATTCCATTTTCACTCAAACCAATTTAAAATAGCCCATTTTAGGGCACTGCGGTGTGAAATGGCAATTATATGGTAATTAGTATTTAGTATTTTTTCATAAAAAAAATTAAGCAATATTCAAATAAGTTGCATTTATAAAATCACCATTAAAAACTTTGCTGAACAAAATTGTATATTGAATTTGAAGAATAAAAAAAAAATTAACATAATATTGTAATATTCTTGAAAATACTTGTAAATTCAATCATTATTGATTATTTAATTATTTGATATTATATTTTTATCACTAATTTTTATAATTATCTTATAAACAAAGAATTCAAAGAGTTTATATTTTAACAATTTATCATACAGTCAAATGTAAATAATAAATTAATTCTATTAAACCAAATTGCATAATCTATTTCAATACTCAATTCACTGTAGGTTTATTCAAATTAGACATAGATAAAAGTCTTGTTAACATATCAAGGTTCATAAAAAAATCTATCAATACATAAATAAAAATCCTTGTGAAATTTATAAAAGATTATTTAGAATTTCTGAATGAATTCACACGCTATGGCAATGGAATATTTATTTTAAAGACAAAATTCCAAAGATAGATTTCATTCTTCTCTACGGCACTTTGTTTAATTATAGACTAATTGTGTGCTCACTATAATTAAGAATAATCTGATGATGATTCTCTCTTAATTTGTGGTAAGGTGCGACCTCAACTCTCTCAATAGATGTATTTAAGACCTAACAATTTATGAGCTTTTAATATGCGTATCCGATAATGGTTTTATGACCATATCATATTATATGTTCACATATGAACCTAAATAATTTAAGAAACACGTGATTAAAATTAATATTGAATAGTATACTCAGATAATTGGCTTCGAAAGGCGACAAAGGTTTTTACACATATGGCTTTATTTACGGTAACGGTCAAATATTGGCTTATATACATACTTTTTCCAATTTTGGTATCAAACGTTTCAGAATAACATTAAAATAGAAGATCGGATTTTCAAGCGAAAATAATCTTCTACTTCAGGAAGTTAAAAATATTTTTAAAATAATTAGATAAAGGTAAAATTTTTATTTCTTTAGCATCCCAGTATGAGTTAGACATGTTAAAATTTAAAAAATAACCCACTATTTAAATTAAATCATAACGAAGCAACAAATATAAAAAAAAACACTCTTGCACATGTAGAAAGCATTGCAAAAATTATTTCGGTTTCTATATTTCATAAATGGCTCCAAAGACATATTAAATTTAAATTCTCAGACAGAGCAAATAAAAATAATTCAGCGTATATATTTCATAGACATTCCAATGCCTTATCAGTGAAAGTCCTTGATTTGAATAATAGCTTGCTGTATGTTACAAATCTTATTGATATGAGGGTATAACAAATCGTTGTTATAAATAAAAAAACTTCCAATCCAAATATGATCTATATAATACAGGATAGAGCGGTGCTTAAAGGTCCACTACCGATATCTCAAAAACAAGAAAAGTTAAGATTTTTTTAAGAACAAAATTTGAAAGTAGAGGAAAAAGATGTTTAATCAGCCATCACCTTGATTCTTACGACATCGCTATCGGGAGGTAAAGGGCAATGAAAATCCATAACAAAAGTATTTTCTTTCGTTGTAGATTGACTATTATGAAATTGTCTACAGTTCAATATAAAGCTGAGTTAATTAATTAATTTTGTAACTAGTGGTGCTTGGCATCGTGCCTTAAAGCAAATTGCTGGAACTTTCCGTACCAGAATTAAATTGTCGAGCAAAAAAATTAAAAAAATAAATATCAATCAATGATAATTACAATTGTTTTAAATATTTTCAAAGAGATAATTTTAATTACTATATATTTATTCGTTCATATAATATACAGTGACGATCGAATCCATCTGAAGAAATATTTCTTACGAGTAGAATAACTCATATGAAATATACAATTTTAAACTGAATTGTAAATTTAAAATTTATGTTAAAGTATAAACCTTTGTATATTTTTGAAAATTTTGAATTTTTTTTTCTGAAAATTTTAAAATTTGTTTGAACCGTATAAGTAAACTTTAAAAATTAAAAACCTTGGTACGGAACCTAAAGAAATTTAAACAAAATTAGTAAACATAATTAAAATCTCTATAAAATATCTGATAATTTGATATGCATATGTCTAATGATCATTTTAGACCGCCAATATCATTTTTTTTACTTTTTCTCCGAATTATCTCCGAAACTGCTGAACCTGCCTTTCTAAAGATTTAATAAATTTTTCATTTCATCAGTACAAGTAAAATGTTTTGTAAATCACTGAAATCGGGCGCTCCGTTACCTCAAAAACTGAATTGCCATATCCGTATCTTCGAAACGACTAGACCTGTCTGCGCCAAAAACTAATCAGCACGTCTCCCCATCTGTGGGAATCGAATGTTTCTTGAATCATTCAAATCGGTTGATCTATGCGCCCGAAACATTGTATCCAAACATACACACACACATACATCCATTTAATAAGACTTTATGATAAATATTAGATAACTACTTTGCAATCCATTATGTGAGAAGTAAATCCATCATGTAATCTAAGCTTTATCATCTCCAACAAATTAGAATAATTGCATATATATTTTTTTCGGAATCAATGTTAAGACATATTTTTATCATTCTAATGATAATTAGTAGTATGCAATATGCCATAATGTGAGTTTCACTGCAAAATATATTTTTATTATTAACAATAGGTAAATTACTGTATATGAAAAGAAGGCTCTATATGTTTATTGTTGAATTTTTTACATTTTTTTCGTAAAAAGTAACGTTTTTATGATATCCGCTCTCATTATAGAGCAATCTATAACCGATGTTCTTCAACTTCAAACGAACAAATCAAGCACAACGTTTATCAAACAAATCAAATTAAAAAGTGATTTACGATATTAGAACCTCGGCGAAAGCAATGAAATGGCATGAAATGGCTTCAACAAATGAAGTATATTGGATCGTGGGATTGTTTTCGATATGACTTGAAATATTTTGTCGATAAACTTATATTGTTATAAATTAACCTTTAGTCATGAGATGAAACGCTTTCTAATAATTTGATTATAGATTTAAAATGGGAAAGAGCAAATTATAACATAAAATGACGAGAAAAGCTCCGGGAACAGTTCCCTTATTGAAAACTTTGTAAAATAATAACTTTATATAAATAAGTTTTCATAATTACTATATAAGACCTATTTTATAATTATTTTTTACACAAACGGTATGAATAAGATGTTTTCTCAACAATTCCCATAACTTGTAGTTAATAGAGTCGATTAGTATTCATATTTAACGCTCTAGTGATCCACAAATATTTAAAGAGATCGATCTTATTCTTGTTAGAAAATGATTTAATGGTGTTCAAGATTTTTTTCCACTTTCAGACTTATTCTATATTGGCAGTTGTAGACAACTTTAACTGATACTTCTATTTATTAAAATTTTATATAGTTTATCGATATAATATCTAAAATTTTTTGATTGAGACTAGTTGAAAAAAAAATTAGTTTTGTGAAAAAAATATTGTTGACTTCGAATGAAGACAGTACATTTAACCTTTCACGAGCAAAAGGTTCAAATTAAATAAATTTTATTAGTTGTTTTATACTTTATTTGTTAATTCACATGTTCATCATCTTTATTTGTTAATTTACATGTTATAAGTCTTCATATGTTATTCTTTTTAAAGCCATATTATAATTGAATTGTATAATTCTAATAACTATTAAATTGTTAAGTGTCTAATAAAACACAGATTGTAATTTATTAAAAAAAAAGTTGATAAAAGCAAATTGATTTATTTATCGCACTTGATGCTGTTAATAAAACGTGGACAGATTTTTTTTCACTTTTCTGCTAATTACAAAGAAACGGCTTAGACAATTTAAGGTAAAAAATTTCTTTATATACACACACATCATGTTTCCAAATTTTTTTTCATTCGATTCAGAATGGCTTGAAACGTCTAAAAAACATAAAATTAGCGAAACTGATTTTTATGAAAACAAAATTCGCCTTGGGGAAGTTAATTAAATGTGTCATTCTTAGAAATGTTGTTTCAAGTAGATGCAATTAATTGTGGGGAAAACAATATCCTTTTGGCTTTGATCTTATCAAGTACATATTATTTATTTGCATGTAAATTAATATTTCAATATTCAAAAATAACTTTTCGTAATGTTACAGTGAAAATATGATGGTTAGGGTTGCTGTCTGATTAGTAAATGCACTCAAAGCAATTACTAGGTTTCTATGTTTTATACTAGTATTTATTTACTATTGGAGTGATCTTTAAAATTTATAATTTACTAATTATAGAGGATTCTGCAAAAAGTACCCTAAAGTCAGTAATTATTGGTGAATCTTTTCACAACAAAACAACTGTCAATCTCTCTTTTAATATACCAATAGAAACAATGGTATCTGATAACTATTTTCTCAACATTGATCAGACGGTTATATAAAATAAATTGTTTGGTACACCTGTTTTATGTAAGTGTATCATTTTTTACGCCTCACTGGATTTTGTACATTTAAATAAAAAAATGATCTATTGTTAATAATACAAACTATCTAAATTAAGTGGATATCTAAATAATGATCGTTTTATACA